TTGGCCAACTGCTGTGGGATCATCAAACGGTCCACTACGGCATATCATCCTCAGACCAATGGTCTTACGGAGAGGCTGAATAGAACCATGGCCGATATGCTGTCGATGTACGTAGACCTTGATCAAAAGAATTGGGACGAGATTCTACCTTTTGTCACGTTTGCATACAATACCGCGAAACAAGAGGCAACTGGATTCACGCCGTTCTTTTTAGTTCACGGGAGAGAGGCAGAAACCCCACTGGACGTGCTGTTTCCCTATCCAGAAACCACCGATAGTGACGAATATATTCAAGAATTGGAAACTAAAGCAGAAGAGGCACGCCAAATTGCACGATTCCACATTCTGAAAGCCCAAGACGTCAATAAAACAAACTATGACTCAAAACACAGGAGAGTGACGTACCATCCAGGCGACCTGGTGTGGATTTACACACCAGTACGACGTGTAGGACTGTGCGAGAAACTGATGAGACGCTATTTTGGACCTTACCATGTGACCCGGAAACTATCAGATGTGACGTATGAAGTGAGACCAGTTGAAGATCAAGGAAGACGACATCGAACCAAGGACATTGTGCATGTGCTAAGGATGAAGCCCTACCATGGACCCATCGGACAGGAGGACTAGAAACACGTGAGCCCTTTGCCCCAGGGGTGATTCTCCTAGCTGTGAGGACACAGCCCTTTATAGGGAAGGGGCAATGTAAAAGTTATTTGTAAATAATAGTTATACATTATTTATTTTATTCTGTTTTATGCAAAATTAATTTTGCATATATATATCACTATTTTTGTTTTACATAGTTAAGATTATTATTTTCTTTCCTTTTTCTGCGCGCTGGCACTCACTTCCGTGCAGCGCATTTATAGTTGTACCAGAAAATAAACTGACTTAATTTCTCTGGAATCTCCCGCTCTTTATCTTCGTTACAATATGGTGTTATCTGAAAATTGCTTGTTTTGAATATTTTTTTAGATTGAGTTAAATGAATTGCTGAATTTTTTTTTTGTATTTATATATAAATAAAATTAACTCTGTTGATTTTTTTGTATTTAATCGATAACAGCTAAGTTACGCATGTTAATGTTAGGGAAAAATATTTTGATGTTAAGCAAAACCTGCTCCATCTCGTTTCACATAAATGTTGAAAATTTGGTTGAAATTGATGCATTGTAACGAAAGTTTTTAGTGATGTCCTCTCATGAAATTTGCATTTTATTAATATAGATATACATTATATATATATACACATCTTATATAAAGAAAAGAGATTTTCTGCATGTATTTTAGAATTGTTGAGATTATCTTAATTTTGGTTATCTTGAGGATTAAGCTATGGTGGTGCAGTCGTGGTTGAAAAAATAATCTTGAAAGTATAATAATAAAATAGTTTTGATCAGAGATTTCTTTATTTGAGCTATGAAATATATATAAAACATAATTTGGTATAAGTAATGCCTGGCTTAAGGCGAGTTAACAAAGGAAAACAAAATAATATTTACATAATGTACAAAGTTTTGAGCCGACTAACGCGGAAGAACAACAACGAGTTTTTATAAGGGAAGAGTGACCTCTGGCGGTCGATTTAGCAGTATTTGTATCTATGAAATATATTTCTAAATATAATAATATTTTAATATAACATACATATAGATGGAAAATTTGCCGTGAGGAAATTGATCCATAGGAGCATAGGGCGCCGTTAGATTTTGACGGGAGAGGCGCCCTATGCTTCTATATATACATATGTTTTTACATTTTAACATCTATCTCAAAATTTAGATTTTTATGCTATTTTGAATCATTCGAACAATTTTAAGTCTAACAAAATTCTGAAGTCCATGTGAATTGAGAAACAATATCTTGGAGATTTAGTTTCAATAAAAAGTAAAATAAATTATAATTAAATGTTGAAGAATAGTTTTTATTGACAATTTCCTGTTTATTTGTAAATGTGTTATATATACCTAATAGAATTTTGGTTGCTAAGCAACAAGTAAAACTATCTTTGTCAAAAGGTGTCGAAGGTCTAACTAGGTAAAAACATGTTTTTAACTTCGGCGAGAAGAAATAATGAAATATTTCCGACCTACCTGAGAATATTCATTTACTTGACTGGAAATATGCTAAGCAATGACTGTTTCTGGAAGCTTCGATTTGGAATTCTTTTCTTAATGGTCACCTTTGTAAGGATCTTTCTGAAATATTTAGAACCCAAGAAATCCTGGTATGCCTACGTTTCATGTTTGCAAATTGGCTTTATTTTCTGGATCAACATACTACTGTATAGGTATCGTCTCACAATCATACACATTTTCAAAATTCTTATAAAATTATGAAAAACTAAATCGTGTAAAATCATTTTCCTTCGATTCTTTATATTTTACCTTAGTATATATATTATTATTCTTCCTTATATCTTTTATCGATATATTCCTGATAATGATTTTTATATTATTGCTAGTGTGAATATTATTTTCGAACATTTATTATTAAGTACTAATTTTTTAAGCTTTTCTTATTTATTAAGTTTATTAAATAGCGCTTTACACATGTTAGGCAAAGATTTGATGGATAAAAATATAGCATTGAATGAAACCTTGAAGAAATTCAAATATATAAAAGAAGTTGCTGATATGAATAATGATTTTTATTATTGGCCTTTGTTACTTTATATTATTAACTCACTGATTATGTATTTTGCAAATGTCTTGCATATAAATTTACATATAATGAGTATTCAAGACATAAGCGCTTTAATAGCTGGAATTTTTTTACATATTTATTTTCTTGCATGCTTAACCTCTTAAGGAGAAAGTATCAAAAATCATTCGAAATTTTTCAATAGCGCTCTTATGTTAAACGAAAGCAATATTTCAATTTCAAATTCCAACTACTTGCTGCGATGTAGTTCACAAGATAGACAGGTGGTGATAAGTGCTGGTGGATTTATAATCTTGAGTTTGTCAACGCTCTTCAACTTCTTAGGTTTTGCTATTTCTTATAAAATTTTGATCTTTCAATTCAAATGATATTAAAGTGAAAAAATTTGTGGGACAAGACCTAGAGACCACATTTTCATAAAAAATATTTTGATATTATTTCTTTGAAGAGATAGTTGATTCTCTATATATTTATTTCTATATATATATATATATATATATATATATATATAAAGTAAAAACTATATAATAAAAATATAATAGTGATTCTTTATTTAAAATTTGAAGAGTAAACTGATAAGAATGATAATTTATATCAAGTAGATTTGATTAGATTAGCAAGCAAAATCTAAATTAATTATAAAAATAAATAGTTGTTTGGTTTTATAGTTTAGTTTTGTATTAAAATTATCTTTATTACTTTGATTATTTAAATTCAAATTATAAAATTTGTAAATTGTTATTATTTACATATATAATAACAATTTACAGATTTTATAATTTGAATTTAAATAATCAAAGTAATAAAGATAATTTTAATACAAAACTAAACTATAAAACTAAACAACTATTTATTTATATATATATAAATATATATATATATATAAATATGATTAGTTCCTGTTGACTCTTATAGAATCCTGTCGACTTTGAAAATGTGATGTGGTATCCAGTTCACTTAAACTATGGTGTGAGTCCCTGTCAACTCTCGCTATACTGTGTTGACCCAGAGGAACAGTCAAGATGGGGAGTTTTCCAGTACCTCTCTGCACCTTGGGAGACCTTTAACAATTCTCACAGAGTACAAGCAGTCGTGGTAGAGGCAGAGTGGAAAGCTTGGGAATGTCCACACAAAAAGGGAAGACAAAGTTGCACCAGGAAAGTCCGTGAACAGATAAAAGTTGAGCTAAAAGCGAAAGATGGAGATAGAAGAGTTCTTACTGGTCTACATGGTCGATGAGGAGGACCTTGGTGACAACCGACGAGGTCTCACGCTGATGGTGAAGTGACTATATTTTTAGCTAGGAAAGAGGTATTATATATCTTTTCCGAGAAAGGAAGTATTGCATTTCAGCAGATGCGACAAGAGCGTAGATCGGCTGGCGGAATTGTACACTGGCGCCGCCCTGACAGTTTCCTATCTATCTTTAAATGTTGTTGTGGGACTTCCATCTATCTCGATTTCTGCTTTAGCTCAACTCTTAATCTATTACAGAGTTTTATTTATTAATCTACAGTTTGTACAAAGTACATTACATATAATGATGTAATGACACATGTCAATCATGCGTATAATCATTTATAGATTTTTTCCATTATACAACAAGAAAATCTAGTTATAAGTTATATACAATATGGCGTTGTTGGTTTAAATTACCATATATATATGGTGGTTGGCTTCTCTTGATTTATCAAGAAAAAAAGTGTTGGCCAAATATCAAGGAACATGATGGCGCTCAGCAGGGTAGATTAAATTTGCGAGATAACTAGAAGAATATTGCTAGAAGAGGTAAAATTTCAGTAAACACATATAAAAATCGCTAATCAGTTGTTCATATTAAATCACATTAGATTCGAATTTCATGATGATCACCGCTTTTATTTTTACTCAGATACATCTAATTGTTCAATGACGTGCTTGCAGAAGATAAAATATTTTATTTTTTAATTTTTAGTGATTTTAAATAAAAGTTTTTCAAAATGTATTTTTATTTCTTAATTATATATCTATATTTTATTACAATGTTACAAAGAAAAATAATATAAATAATAAAACGCAAAGAACTTTATTATTCATAAACAAATTTTTTATTTTCTAATTATGTATATACAAGCACATAAACGATTTTTTTTTTCAAATTTACAAATAAGTAATTTATAATACAATATAATGCGGCTTATGATTGTAGAACGAAGTTTGAAAATTATACCGCAAATGTTTATTTTGAACGAAAATTCGGAATTTGTTTTAAGGAGAAATAACGATTATTTCTAACCTTAGATGATGTATGAAAGGATTAATTGTGAAGAATAATGATAAACGAAAAGATAAAGTGTCCAGGGATGGGAATCGAACCCACAGTGTTCCGCTTACCGGGCAGAACCCATGTCTTCTAGGCTACACTGGACATGTCAACTGCTCGGTAAGCGGAACAGTGTGGGTTCGATTCCCATCCCTGGACACTTTATTTTTTCCGTTTATCATTACTCTTCAAAATTCATCCTTTCATACTTCATCCCTAAGGTTAGAAATAATCGTTATTTCTCCTTGAAATAAATTCAGATTTTTCATTCAAAAGAAATATTTGCAGTTAATTTTCAACTTTCGTTTTACAAATAAGTGTAAATGCAGAAACCTTCGTTTTTCAAGTATTAATATACCAAATATTAATTTCCTCATATTCACCCCTCTACCTCCCACAATCGTCTGTAAAATATATTGATACATGGCTGATATAAACGTTGTTATTGAAGAGGATAATTATTCCTTTCTGTTTGACAACAATGGCTTCTCAACCAATTGACACATTTTTGCTATGCGATGGAAAGAACAAAACATTTACTTACCTTATTAATGTCAAACAATCTGCAAGATATTCTACGGGTCTTCATGATATCATATCGGAAAAAAAAACGCAATATTCTCCAACTAGATATCAAGATATTATCCCTTTCTATTTAAATATTTACATTTATCTGACTGGAAATATAGTCAGCAATGATCTCTTCTCAAAACTTCGCTTGGGAGTTCTAGTGCTGGTGCTCTCTTCACTCAAGATATTCTTGATATTTATCTCGAAAGCTTATGTATCGTCCTATATCCCTGATGTTAGCTATTACTGTCTGGCTCATCATTTATCTATACAAATACCGCGTGAAATATATCAATATATTGATTTTACTGAGTAAATATTATGGAAAATATCTAGATAAATATTTATTTTCCCCTCTATTTTGTTTGAATCTTGCTTTAATGATTTTTAACTTTTCTTATGATTTCTATAATAATTATAACAATGGACTTATTGTAATCTTGATTATTGGAGATGCTTATTTGGAATTAGCAATTATCTATGTTCACTTCCTTACTTACTCGTTTATAATCAGTTATTTGAAGTCTATTTCGTGTAAAGTGAATAAAGATATTGAAAATAAGCAAATTAATATTGATGAAGGATTGTCGAAATTTAAAAATATTAAGAAGCATGTAGAATTAATAAATGATTTATATTCTGTGCCCTTGATGGTTTTCATCATTATATCTCTTGGGAACTATTTCAGTACATTTGTTTATTTTTACATCCAATTGAGAAATACAGAAGAAATTGTATACAGTATTATTAGTATCATTTCATATAAAATAGAAGGATTTAAAAGCGGGAATGTTTCTTTTATACATGAAACGAACTTCTACTCTCCTTACTGCGATGAAAAAATATATTGGCCAAGCCCTCCCAATATATTTTTTCATCGCAGTAAGGACAGTAGAAGTTCGTTTTATGTATAAAAGAAACATTCGCGCTTTTAAATCCTTTTATTTTATATGTATAGATGGCGCGTTATTGCTTTGTGTTAAGTATCATTTCAATTTTCAATATTCTAATTTTTATATTTTTCCAAGGTGATGCAAAAAAAATGAATCAGATTCTTTTAACCGATATCTTTTGTTTGATGATCAAGATCTGTCAATATCTAACAGAAAATATTTAAAGCGTCGTAGCTGTCTTGATAGAATGGTTGTTCTGTATGCTGGAGGGTTTATTCCTTTGACTTTGTGTACTCTTTTCAGCTTCTTTGGCATTGTTATTTCTTACACTATTTTGATATATCAATCAAAAATCACTAAACATTGTTTAAAATGAATATTATATTTAAAAAACGATTTTATAAGATATATATAAATTAATTACAGAGAGGTAGAAAGTTGAAAATATCATATGAAACTAATATAAATCCAATTTATTGTATAAATGTTTATAAACATTATATTGTGTATTATCAATTTGAAATATATTTTTTTCCTTTGCCATATATTTGTTTTCTTGAACCTTTCAAACGTTCAGAATAGTATGATTAGACGTGAAAATCAGAGCAGAGATACTATTTCTCTTCAATATAGATATATATAACAAACTTTATTTTGATATTATATAAAATAGTATATTAAAATTCGAAACCATTATAGACGCGTATGATTCTTTTTTTTTAAATAAACGATTTCTACTGTCCTTACTGCAATGAAAACATTAATGGGAGGGCCTGGCTTATCAGTGGTGAACCCTCCCAACGGTTTCGCCAGTTTAATCTACCATACGCTGTTAGATTGCATAAGGACAGTAGAAATTGTTTATTTTCAAAAAAGAATCATACGCGTCTATAATAGTTTCAAATTCTGATAACAGATGGCGCGCTATTGCATCATAATATAATTGCTATAATAACAGACACAAATTGATATTTGCAGAAGAGCGATTGCTCGAAGCATTTTAAATATTTATAAATGAATGTATTTCTGCTGTCCTCAAAGCTTATGCCCATAGTTCATCTAAAATATCCATTCCAAGAGCTTAGCATCAGTATCACTATAAAAGGAATATGGTAAATGTAATATAACAGCGGTATGGTAGATTAAACTGGCGAAACCGCTGGGAGGGTTCACCACTGATGTGTCAGCCCCTCCTATTAATATTTTAATTGCAGTAAGGACAGTACAAATTGTTTATTTAAAAAAAAAAAGAAGCATACGCGTCTATAATAGTTTCGAATTTTGATAACAGATGGCGCGCTAATATATCATAAAATAGTATATTATTTTTCTATATTTTATTAGCATTAATCTCTTTTCAATTAAACTCGTAGACGGAACTTAAGGAAGTTGTACTCTCTAGCATTTATATCGGGTTTCAGACAAACTCTGAAAGATATTTGATACACACAGAGACCTTTATAGAAGACACATGAGATAACCAATTGTAAACAAAATTGGCTTTCACCCTTAAAAATACAACAAACACAACAACAAAAACAGCTGACTGGCGACATTAAAGATTTTCCACTTCCTTTAGTTTTATATATGCGTGTATATGTTGAATAATTAAGGCATTTAAACCTTTTTTTGATGAAATACGTATACTAGTAGATTCGTCAAATTCAATCAGTACTGATAAAATGCTAATATATTGTATTCTCAAGTCATTATTTATATTTTATTGAAAACACAGTTTATTACAACGTGCATAGCTCGAGTTGTTAGTTCTCATATGTGACCAAACTAATAATATGTAAATTATAACAAGTAAAAGTATAATTTCAAATATATAGCACGCATATATATTTCCATCAAAGAATGAAATTTAGCAACTCCCTCCTAAATATATTACGAATATAAACAATAGATGTATATAGATGCTTTCAATTTAAAAAAAAAATTGAACCAAGGTATGACTTCTTTTATTGAACATATAAATTCTTAAATATACAAAATAAATATATATTTGTCTTCCTATTCTTGGATCCCACTTTTTATACACAAAGATTCCTATAGATTCCTTAAAATATTATACGGATTGAGATAGTTATCGATTTTGTTCATAAAAACTTCGGAAAATACGAGAGGGACTCAAAATAATTGGAATTACTTCATAGAAAATATGTGCTCTGTTCTTCAAAATACAACTTCTCAGTATTAAATATTTAGGTAATGAAGTATTTTTAGTATTTAGGATTGAAGTATTTTTAGTATTTAGCATTGAATATTTAGTATTGAAACTTCGAACTACTTTCCCATAAGACTACTGTAATTTTCCGAACGTTTTATTGCAATTTCGAAGCACTTTGAATTATTTCTTTTTGATACCTGCAGGCGCTTTGGTCACATGCAAATTTATTCCGTCGTTGGAAAAACGGTTTCTTTTTAAGTTCCTTTTGAATATCGGAAACATGAAGAATCCGTGGGGGCTATATCTTGTGAATAAGGTACGTGAATAAAGATATCCAAGCTTGAAGCGTCAATCCCTTTGTTTCTCGTTGAGAAGTCTGGGTACAAACTTTGCTGACATTCCTAGCATTCAAAAATAAAGAGTTTAAGAATTGTCGTCCATTTTCCCCTGTCGATCTTTATTGGGCATATTGCGATTTTTACCATTTTGTTCTCGGTTCAAGCAGATGAAGGACAATAGGAACGGGGCTGATGCATAGTGATCACTTCTTCATTTTTCAAATGAGAATATCCTTCATTTACTCGAGTTTTACAAATTGCAATTTTTCAATGTAAGCTGTTTGTATTATCATAACAGTTTCAGGTACCAAATAAAAAAAAAGCTTCATATCGAACGTTGTTCGTAATAATCAGCCCTTTTATCGGGTCGCAAGGGCACTATAGAGAGCCAAAAATAACTGTCGCATAGATAACATTCGTCATTAAAAAGGGATACACTTGGCAGACTGAGGTTCTATAACAGCTCCCAAGCAGCTCAACCTGTTACTTTAAGTATCCGAAGCACAAAATATCTATCTCACGCTTTTGGTTATTTTTGGTTCTCCCATTTCGTATAAGTGTTTTTGAATCGAGAAAATTCATATAATAGAAACCTTACAGATATTCTAATATAATACGATATTTTTACCAAGATAATTCAAACAGAAATTAATTTTGAATCAAAATATTCACCAGCGACAATATATATGTATAATTAGTATTTATTATACAAAGCAATAACGCACCATCTATATATAACGAATGAAGACATTAAGACGCGAATGTTTCTTTTAACAAATAAATCAAACTTCTACTGTCCTTACTGCAGTGAAAAAATATTGTGAGGGCTTGGCTCATCAGTGGTGAACCCTCCCAGCGGTTCCGCCAATTTATTATAATGTATTGGTATTTATTTTAATGAGATGATATATACAATAATAAACATTTCTCATGATTAATTATTGATTATTTATATATATATTATAACTATTATCACGTGTGTCATATAGTGATATGAAACCTTTTATTCAACAAAATGAAATCAAAATAATTTAAATGTACTCAAAAGGGGGAAGGGGTAGTTAAGCAACAAAGGAACTACTGTAGCCTGAACCACCAAGAAATAAATGTATAAAGGTATTTCTATTGCAAT